TTTTAAGGAATGAACTTCAAGAAAATATGAAGGTTCATATCGATAGTAAGAGGACTGCTTAAACCTCTGTGACTTGAACCTTAAATAATATACTATAATCTTTGATTAAAGAAAAAATTATAAGGAAAGAAATTTACAATTGAACAAGAGTGAAATAATTACATGATATATATTGTGTGATAGAGATAAAGAAAATTTCTTTTGAACAAGATCCATAATTTAAATTTTCTTTATTTAAAGAAACATCAAAGAACAAAAATGCTTAAAAAGTTTTTATAGTGATAAAATACACATAACATAAAAGTTATCATTTTACACTTTTAAGTAAAGAGGTTTGTAGCATTAAGTACATTCACATTGTTGTGCAACCATTACCACCATCCACCTCCAGAAATTTTTCGTCTTCCCCAACAAAACTCTGTACCCATTAAATGCTAACTCTCCATTGTCTGCTTCCACAGCCCTGGGCAACCTTCATTCTAATCTCTGAGTCCATGAATTCAACTACTCTAGGAACTTCATATAATGGACATCATAAAATATTCACCCTTTTGTGACTGGCTTATTTCACTGAACATAATGTCTGCAAGGTTCATCCATGTTGTAGCATGTGTCAGAATTTCCTTTATTTTTAAAGACTGAATAATACAGTCACGCATCGCTTAACAAGAATACCTTCTGGGAAATGAGTTGTTAGGCAATTTCTTAGTTGTTGTGAGAACATCCTAGCATGTAGTTGCACAAACATAGATGGTATAGCTTACTACAGACCTAGGCTATGTGGTACTAAGCTTATGAGACCACCATTGTACATGCAGTGCATTGTTGACCAAAACATGGTTACATGTCTCATGACTGTACTCCATTGAAAGAGTCCCTGGACCCAATTGCAACCTTTGTGTGTGGAGTCTTCCCACACCAACAAGCAACTCTTAGGCAACAGCAGGGTGTTTGCAAATTCAACTCAGCTCTGACACAATCTACCTCGAGATAGAACCAGATTCCACAGGTGAAGGGCTCAGTCCCACAAGACCACCCTCAATTTCTGATGCCAGCTGCAAGTCAAGGTTGTTACCTCTGCTTCTGACACAAATTGGAGGTTCCAGCAAGTCCCTCCAACTTAGGATGCCAAGTGCAAGTTGACATTGTTACTTGCATTTCTGACCCACTGGGTATAAATCAGAGGTTCCCATGATGCCCTTCTTGTGTTCCATTAACTTGCTAGCACAGCTCACAGGACTCAGAAAAATCAGTTTGCTTATTAGATTACCGATTTATTATGAAGGAGATTAAAGGATAGGAATCAACAGCCAGATGAAGTGATACATGAGGGGAGGTCCTGCACAAAGGAACTTCTATCCTCGTGGAGCTTGGGGCTCGGCATGTGGCATGTGGAAGGATTTTGGTTGCCCAAGATGGAAACTCTCCTAATCCCCTCTTTCTGGATTTTTATGGAAGCTTCGTCACATATGCATGATTGATTATCTACTGGCCTTTGGTGATTGAGGTAACCCCCCCAACTACTCTCCTCCCTGGAAATCAGGGAATGGGAATGAAAGTTCCAACACTCTCCTCATGGTTGGTTTTCCTGGTAACCAGTCTCTCTCCTTAGGTGCTTTGCTAAAGTTGCCTTGATTATTAGAGTTTATGTGGCAGGAGAAAGAGCATGTTATGAACAACAAGACACTCATTTCACCTTTATGGCACTGAAGCATTGTCAGGCACTGAGGGCAAGAGACCAAATATGATCACACAAGATTCTCCCATTGCTCTTATCAGTCAGGAGATTCCAAGGGTTTTGGGAGATGGGAGTCGGGAGCTGTGGATGAAGAACAAATATATCTGAGAAATATATTTTGGTCATCCGAATGACTGAACATTTATATTTCTTACAAATCATCACATGCAATGTATGCATAGACCACATTTTGTTTATCTAGTCATCCATGGAAGGACATTTTTGTGGCTGTGATCTTCTGACTATTGTGAATAACACTGTTCCGCACATGCGTGCAGAATCATATTTGAAACACTTTTTCAGGTTTATTTATTTTGTCTTGTGAACCACACTGAATGAGTTTAGAAACTTGTTAACCTTTTCTATGTTTGAGAACAATTTCAATATTACAAGAGTGATATGTTCTTTCATGATATAAAAAGTTAGATATTGAAATTTGCTATGTCCATTGATGCTGGAGGTAATAGTGATAGGTTGTTGGAGACAGTGTCGGATCAAAATCTGCCATTTCTTTCTTGGCTCTTTTCTACTCAACTTTTCCTAAACTTCTTGGGTCAAATTTGGTAATTTAAGTCATCTTACAATAACATCAACATCACTGAAAGTTTCATATCAGAATAGAGTTTTACATCATGCTTTCGTGTTCTTTTTAAAATTGATGCATCTAGAGTTAATCTTTCATTTCTGGTTTGTATTGTTCTCTGTTCTTTTATCCTTTATTAGAATTGTAAGAACTTTGTCACTTTCATTGTTTTCGTCTAAGAACCAGCTATGCAATCTGTTAGAAAAGAGTATTTTGTTTTCTGTATTCTCATTCTGGATACTCTAAGTTGAGTGGTGGGCCAACTTTGATCTGATGAGAGCAATACTTCGTTGTGTTCTCTAACACATTCCTGATGTGGGAGAAGCTTAAGAAGTCTTTACATTTCAAAATGTCATCATTTAAATGTCAATGTGAAATGTGTAACAATATACACAACAGACGAGTAGATACTCAGAGATAATTCCTAATAAGGCATTTCCAAATAGAATGGTAAGGGAGAAAATGCTAATAAATATAGACAAAGTGAGTTTTTTTCTTTTAAAAGGCAGAAGAGACCTTGTCAGAGAATGTAGTAATTAGATCTTTTGACAAAGCCTTCTCAAATTTCTAAATTTGGGAACATTTAATTGCTAATAAGTTCGTGTGTGTTGTTCTTTCCTCAAATAGTTATTAGGAAGAGGTGAGGTCAATCTCTGAAAGTTTTTAGGTAGCTTACTCTGGATCCCTTAGGGTAGGTCTTACTATATCTTCATTTTGCAGATGAGGAAACTGAGGGTCTGAGAGTTGAAGTAGTGTGGTGAATGTCCAGAGCTGGAGGAAAAAGTGTTAGGACTTCAACTCAGTTTGAAGGACTCCAAATTCCTTGCTTCTATTTTACAATGCACTACGCTACCTCCTTTATGAAATCCACTCAGGTTTTGTTAAAGAATGTGGGGGGCCTAAGGTGTGAGAGAATTGAGCAATGATAAAAATGAGAGAACGGGGTATAGTGGTTTAGGGGGAGAAGAGGCCTAGAACCACATCCGTTTCCCTAGCGAGCAAGAGAAATTATTTCATAAATTTTAAGAATTCTGTCAGCCTATGCAACTTCCTCACATTTGTTATATTTTCCTTGTCTCTTTAACATTAATTTCCGTCAAAGCTCTGAAATATGATATTAAGAAATAGTACTTGTGATGTATCATCCAGAGAAGGGAGGACGACAGGCATTCTTTCAGTTGGCAGCTGGCTTGTGAATCAAGGTGTTGGGAGGAGGGAGGGCGTGATAGCAGGGAGAAAGAGGAGAGATCTATTCTGTTCCCAAAGAAAGAGCAAAGTAAAAATGTTTTCTAGGAAAACGGCCCAGGGTGAAGCTTGAAAGAGAAGGGGTTTTGATGGTCCTGTGCTGTGTTCACAGCCCTCAAATTCCAGACTCACAAACACCCAGAATGAGAGATGGCAATCAGAAATTGGATGCTGATTATTTTGTTGATATATTGAAGACAGACTGCATTGTTCCAGTGTGAAGGCTTTCTGAAGTGATGCTATCTTCATATTCCTTTTCTGAAATAAACAAGAAAGGAAGTTGACAGAGAAGCCAAGACATGGCAGATAGTATCTAATCCATTGCCGGAGTTACAGAAGCGAAGTAACTGGGATCCAATTTTTCTCCCTTGCTCGCTCTCCCTGTTCCTTCCTAATTTCTTTTTGTTTCCTGTTTTCGCACACCTAGGAGATAATGTACCCTAAGTAGTCGCTTGCAAGATGAATGAAATAGATTATTCTCAGAGAGTTTATCTTTTGTTTGTTATTGAAAATGTTCAAAGATACATTTACAAAGATGCAACATATTCTATAATGGTAGAAATGGAAAGCAGCCTACATGTCCACTAGCAGAGGGCTGGTTATAGAAACCTTGACATAGCCACACAATGAATTAGTGTCCAATCGTAAAACAAAACCAAAAAAAGACGAAACAGGGCCTTGTATCTCTATGAACTGAAAAGAAAGTTTTCTAAGAAATATGTTATTTGAAATGAGCAAGATTAATTCTGCATATGAGGAAGATATCATTTGCAAAAATAAAAAGATTAGTTTATGTTTAAATAGGCATAAATTATTGTAGGAAGGTGTTCAAAAGTGGTATAGTGGTTGGTTTGGGGGAGGGATGTGGGGAGATCGGACAAGGTAAGCATTTAATATTTAATTTCACACCATTCTGTTCTGTTACTTTTATTTTTTTTTACCTTGAGCATATACTAATATAAAAGTAAATATTTAAGAAACTAGATAAGTTTTAACAGTACAAAATTGAAGTATCACTTATCGGGGACAGTGGACCCAGGAAGCCTGCTGTGAGGCAGGACTGAGCGAGGGTGGTTGAGTTGAAACTTGAGGTGGGAAGTCTGTGAGCCTGGGGAGGTGCAGAGGGGAGGACCAAAGGGAGGGCACTGCTCTACTTCCTCATTACCAGCCCATTTCAAGACAGGTAATCTTGGGGAAAAAGGCCTCTTATGGCAGTGTATCTTAAAATGGAAATTACCTTGAACAGATTGTTAAAAATAAAGTCTTGACCCTATTTTAGAATATCTGGAGAGAAAGCTTTAGAAATGGGCCCTAGGACTATGCACTTTCAACATGTTTCCAGTTGATTCATTGGCAAAGTGAAGTTTGAAACAGTAGGTATTAGGGCCTTTGATGGAGAGTGAAATAGAATCATACCTATCATTGAATTCCATATTACTGGGGTGGCTGGCCCCCTGGAGGTGGTGGTCCCTGGGGCCCTCCAGGAGGAGGTGGGGGAGGAGGATTTTGATTGCCTTGTGGTCTGGGTGGTTTCTGCTGAGGAGCATCCTCTGGCTTGTCATCCTCAGCAGGGGATCTAGCTGGGTGTCTTCCTGGTTGTGGTGGTTCTTGCTGAGGAGCATCTTCTTGGTTTCCATCAGCAGGAGGGAGTCCAGGTGGAGGTCCTCCAGGAGGTGGTCTCCGAGGCTCCTGTTCTAGGCTCTGGCTTGGGGCCTTTACATCTGCATAGGTAAGACACAAGCATAGATATGGTTTTGGATCAAAGACTCCCCTCTCATGTTGATCTCCGATGACCTTAGCCTATGGTCCCCTTTCTCCCAGAACCTGCCTGAAACCTTCCAACCTCCCTCCTGTCAACTGCTTCCTTATGCAGTAGTCCTCTTAAGGTGCATAAGAGTGATATTGAAATTCTAGTTCTTTGCTCCTGAGACAAACATGTGACTTTTATTGTGACAATAGAGCTGGTTGTAGATATGTTAGAATTCCCAGAGAATTTCTCAAAGGACAAAGGAAAAGCAAAGGGATTATTAAAGTTACTTATGTTGCCAGTTATATTTCAGGCCACTGACATAACTTGACAACTGTGACTCTAAGTCTGGTCACTTGGAGTCTATGGGACATCCTCAGGCTCCAAGACCCAGGGAGAGAAATATTAAGAGGGAGAGAAAGACAGTGATGGCCCACACAGGATTCACCAAAGAATGGTGGGAAATTTTTATCAGCCACAGGGACATGGTCAAGTAGAAAAACAGAGAGAAAGGGGATCCAGATTCTTATTTTTTTTTGCATTTCTCCTTAAACAATAGATTTATAGAGAGGAACATTGGGGAAGCAGGAAACAATTGAGGGGTTGGTTTTCAGTAAGATGGAGGAGTCACAATTAGGACTCCTGCCCTTTTTCTGTCACCTCTCCAACGATCATTCCTGGCCTGAGGGAACAGGCAGCACACTCCTGTGGTCATCCAGTCCAGAGTCACTTCTGTTATCCAAGTCGGGGCCCTGCTCTTGGTTCCTAGAATTGAAGTTGGTTAAAGGATTACCTATATCTCTGGGGTAATGACATTAATCAATATTTGACAGGAAAGTGATGGTCATAAGACATTGGGGAACTGAAAAATTCCCAAGAAAGGAAGGGAAAGAATGTTTATTGAGGATTAATTGGGATTTACCTGATACGAGGGGTGGAGCTACTTTTCTTAGGAGTCATCCAGGAAAAGAAGCACAGGATGAAGTGAAAAGTGAAGTCCCAAATCTTTCAGAGTGCACAACTGTTCTACCAGGAAAGGCACCCTTCCAACCACTACCTGTATATTTCATAAGTTAACTTGTCTGTCATGGTCTGTGATGCCTTTGAAAAGGGAGGAAGATGTAAGGGGATGGCAAGGTTGTTACTATGCTGGGAATCCACTACAAACTGCAAATAGAACAGGCCCTTTTTGTCCTCCCTAGGATTTCTCAAACCCTAAAACTAATTTGAACTAAGTGCTGTGGTATTTCGTGTTCTAGTGTACTTCTGCCCTCTTTCTTCCTTAAGTATTAACCTTATATTAACATACTTTTCAAGAGGGGTGAGCAGGGGTAAACATTTGGATACAATCTTCCATAAATCGCCCACAGCACACTGAAATATTAAATGTGGGTGGGAGAAAAATGAGAATGTTGGGCCCTGGTATCTCCATATCTCTACGTGGAGAGAAAGAAATCTCCTATCCTCTTCTCCATCTCTGAAATAGCTCTGATGTGTATTTATCTTCGTCTATATCACATCCCCTAGCAAGGCTACCTCACTCACTGTCTATATTCATTTCTGTAATATCTTCATGACTGAACTTCTCCTGTACCAGTCTCACCATCCTCCAGTGCATCCTGCACTGCACAGTCAGAGAGAGTTTTCTGAAAATGTAAACCTTACCTTGTCATCCCTCTGGCTGAAATTCTTTCTTGGGTTCCAACAGTACCTTAAATAAATTACAAGGTCTTGCCATGAAATGAGGACATGACTGGCCTTCTCTTGTGTCAAGAAGTCTGTAGCCTCCTGTTTCCTCTCATTTCTCTCCTCTCCATACCTCCTTCCTCACTGCAGTGTCATCTGCCAAGCCCCAAGCAGAGTCCCAATCCCCTCCTCCCCATTTTCATTTTTTTACCATTATGTGGGCTGTGAGCTGAGCTCAGGGCCAGCAAGGCCACTGAGAGCATGACCAGCCGCATCTTGGAGGAAGCTCTGGAGTTGCTCCTGACTATGTGCTGGGAGAACCCGGGTGGCTTCCTTTATAAAGACAACAGAACAATGGAATCTTTGAGCTCCACACTGCACAGACCTCATCATCTGATAGACTAGGTGATAGTTTACTCAGTCAGGTCAGGTGCATCCCTTGTCTCTTTTTGGGACTTCGCCCAGCAGGATGGTGTGTCTAGGATATTGTTAGTGTCTCATTCTTAATAGGTACAATGTGTGACTTGGGTAGTTTTTGAAGGAACCATGCCCAAGAAGTCAGTTCAGATGTTAGAAATGTTCTGTCATCATTGGATTTTCTGTCTGATGGTGAGGTTGTTTCTCTATTCTTACGTTGTCTTGTTTGTTTCTCTGTATGAGTGTGTCTGTTTGTGTGTGTGTGTTGACAGTGATTTTATAGCCAAAAGTGAAGAAGGTCCGTATCTCTGGCCATTATTTTTCCCCTAACTACATGAATCATGGTGCATGTGTGTGCCTATGTGTATGATATTTAGGAAAAATTTTTGATGGTCCGGAGAACATTTCTGTTGAACTTTGAAATGTATGAGGAAAGCACACCTTGGGCTCACATGGATGACAGAAGGTTGACCCTCAGCCTGTTCGGGCCCAGAGAGATCATTCAAGATTCTCTGCATCTGTCTTTAATCAGGGAAGCCTTGGTGTTGTAGAACACAGGTGAACTACAACTTTCTGTTTTCATTAATATTCTTGGGGTTATGAAACTTAGTGAAAGCAAAGGTGGACACTGAAGCCACTGTGGGATTTCTAAATTTGAACAAGATGAATAGAGTTGCTTGAATGAATCATGCTATCTTATGTCTCTAAGACTTCTATGCTGTTTCCCTTTTCTAGAATCTTCTGTAGGATTCAGTTTGGGCCTTATTTCTTCTAGGAAATACATTTTACCACCCCCACTTATCAATTAGTGTCTAAAATTATCCACTCCAATAGTATAGCCGGGTGCCCACCAAAAATCCTCTCTTGCATTGCACTGATCGTCTAGTTTTCAGTCAGGTTCTGTGCTGGAATGTGTTTCCTCAGATATTTCTTCAACACAGGGAAATTTCTCTGCAATATTCAGATGCTCATTTCTCCCCACTCTACCTCTGAAACTTATTTGTTGCTATTTTATCTCTTGAATCAATCTGCCCTAGGTTTCTTTTCTCTCATGTCCAGCTTTTTTTTTGTGTGTGTGTTTTCTGTTTTTGGCTATGCATTCTGGGAGAATTCCTTTATTTAATCATCTTAATCAGAGGCTGTTCTGCTCTCCACCAGGTTTGTTGCTTTTGTGTGTAAAATTTTGCACCAAATCATCGTGTTTCCAAAAAGGTGTTTTTTTTTTTTAAAGATTTTATTTTTTCCTCTTTCTCCCCAAAGCCCCCTGGTACATAGTTGTATATTCTTCATCGTGGGTCCTTCTAGTTGTGGCATGTGGGACGCTGCCTCAGCGTGGTCTGATGAGCAGTGCCATGTCTGCGCCCAGGATTCGAACCAACGAAACACTGGGCTGCCTGCAGCGGAACGTGCGAACTCAACCACTTGGCCATGGGGCCAGCCCCCAAAAAGGTGTTTTTAAGTTACTTGCATTCATTGCCTTTTCAGTTGCTGATCATTCTGTCATATTCAGTAGTTGTCAGCTAATCCTCAGTGAAAATCAAGCTGATTCAGTGTCATCGACTGCCACTGATCTCAGAACAAGTGTAGATCTCGTGTTACTGTTCAGATTTTTTGCAAGTCTTGTGGGAATGTGAGATAGTTAGGCTGGGATATCACAAAGAGTGCCATGTGGCTGGAAACCCTACAGGTAGGCCTCAGGAGGAATGTGGATGAGTGGACCCTTGAGCGTCTGGGTTGTGCCGTCTCTAATATGTTGTTCAGTTTTTGCGCAGGGCTAGTGAGAATTTGCAGATAGTTTGGATGGGATATCACAAGGAGGGCCATGTGGCTGGAAATCCTCAAGACAGGCCCTTGAGCACTGTGGATGAGTGGATCCTGTGCTGCGCACATGATTGTCTGAGTCTGGCCCTCTCTGAATTGTTGCACAACACATTAAAGGGAAGTTTTCTAATACAATGGAGTTTGCTCCGGATAACTTTGCCCTTGCAAGGTGACCAGGCAGACTGTTTTTCTCTTTTTTTTCCTGGCATAATTATGGATAAATTCCAGAAGTGGGGAGATAGCAGCAGTTGGCCATTCTTCTCTGGTTGCACTGGAAAGTAGAATGGTTCTAGCTAGGCTTTGTGTGAGGAAGGGAGATGTCTTGGGCCTTCAGTTTCCCTTCTGTTATTGGGATGACTGTCTCTGATTTCTCCGTATGTATTTTACAAGAGAGACTGGATATGAGCAGTCCTGACGAGGCGGCTTATGGCAGACTCTCAGGTTGGTTAGGAGGGTCAGACATAAGGGTGAGAAGGGAGTGCCATGCAGACTTAGTGACATTGTGTGGGTGGCTGCAGAAGGGGCAGTCCTGATGGAAGGCAGGCTTCTCTTCAGCTTGGTGAGTACTGGAGGAGAGCAGGGCATTCTGCAAAATATCACACAGTTCGGGTCTTTCCCTAAGATAATTTTTAAAAAGTCATATAGGTAGACAATATATTATCGGACTCCCCCTTGGTTCCTCCCAGATAACATCTCTCTGAGTCTTGGGTCACCATGGTAACAGACGCCTAAGGAACTAAGAGTCAACCTCTGTCTGTTTCTTGCTGGCTGAGAGTAGCACCCCACAAACTGGACTTGCACAAGTGTCCAATAGGCGGCCTCCTGACATCATGGAACCAAAAACTCCACACCAAGATCATGTTAATGCCACCATTTTGAGAGTTTGTTTCCTATGAAGAGCCATGAAGCTTGACTACACTTGTGCAGATCGTCAGTTTTCTCCTTCCTCGTTGCCTCCAGTCATCTCCCTCCACACTGCAGACCACCTTGCCCCTCTACCCCATAAATATCTCTAGTCCTCATGTTTGGGGAGGCAGATTTGAGACTTGTTCTCCCATTTCCTCACTTGGCTGCCTTGTGAATAAACCCTTTCTCTGCTGCAAACTCATCATCTTGGTGATCAGCATTTGGCGTGAAAGGCAAAATGAACCTGGTTCGCTAAGAACAGTACTTAGCTTTTATTACAATTCCCGGCTGAGGAATTGACATGTGATTAAGACATATCTCATCAGGGTCTTCCAAGTGTTTCATATATGAATGAGTTGCTGAGATAAGGAGGTGGAATATGAAGCTGCCGGCACTTATTGTGGCAGCCACACATAGAAAGCTGAGAGATTGATTAAAGCCTTTTGACAACATTTTTGAACCACTGAATCCAGTCATATTTGAGTTCCCCATTATTTGAATATTCAATTTTCCTTTTTCACTTCAGCTAATTTTAGTAGAGTTTCCTGCATTTGGAACCAAAATGATCCTGCTGGAGGAAAGAGGGCTAATTGCAAAGCACAAACTTTGAGATATTTCTCCCTGAAACCAAAACTACCGGACTTCTCTCAGTAAGGTAGTAACACGCATTTTGTGATACAGTTTGGAATTATTCTGTCAAACTGCATACATTTGACTTCCTGAAGCTGGAGGAGTGGCTTCAACTAGTGATATTCTGCCCCTTTTGGAGCCCTTTATTCTGTCAGAGACCAATCATATTTGGAGGTGTTTTGGGGAGCTAGAGGGGAGAGTCGACATTGCATGCCATTGTTTTTCCAAACTGGCTTTATGTAGGTCCTCTTGTTTTATGCCTTTTTCAGTAGGAATAATGTGAGCCTTCTATTTAGAGCTTGGTAGAACAAACATAATATAGAAAAAGCCTTAGGAAGAGTTACCGAAATCAAATTAAGGACACGTCTGTTCTGAGCAGAGATAGAGAATATATTCCTCAGTTTATGGACATAAAACTGAATGTTCTGTTAAATTTCATAGATATCAAAATCCGAATGTGAAATACTCTCAGTTCCAAGCTATAATCAACCATGTATGACGTTGTTTATGAGATTTAAAAGTTAATTACTCAAGTAGCAGTTTAAGCAAAATCTATTTCCGTTAATGGTTAGCTCAGTAAGAGTTAAGAGTGTGAGGCAGGATTAAGAAAACAAAATCCTACTTAATCATTCACAGGATAAAGTATAATGACTAGACTATTGGAGTGGTGGATAAATCTGAGGCTGAGGGATAGTTCCTCAGATCCCCTCCTCTACACACATGAGGTTTGTCAATCTTCTTCAGAGATGTTCATGAATGAGCTCTGTGCCCTCACAGAGATCCCACTGGATAGATTCTCATCATTCTTTCTGATTTCAAGATAGAAGGAAGAGCCAGAGGAAATCCCAAATCCTTTTTCTGACTTGAGGTCAGTAGCCTTATTGCGTAGGTGTCTTTTATTAATACCAATTTTGTTATGCTCATTGTAAAAGTGTCATTGAATCCAGGAAGTTTTCCAAATAATGGGAATGCATAGAAGTTATCAATGTACCATTACAGAGCAAATATCAGAAGCGATATCCCCAGATGAAACACAAAGAGCACCAGGGAGGAGTATATGAGCTTCTTGCCAAGGATGAAGGTCAAGGGTAAAGGGCAGTAGAGAACCAGATAGCTCTTTAATCCTTGTTTAGATTCCCAAGCAGTCTAGCTTCAATTCCTTATTCTGCTCATTTATCACAATTTGGTTTTTCCTTTTTCTTCTGCACCATTAGAAACGTGCTGACTGATGCCCTTTATCATGAATTATCCTTCAGTACTGATTATTAAGGGGTTTCTATTGGGACTAAGTACTGAATTTTAAACTCAACCTTTTCTGTGGCTACTGAGAGGCAATGCATTGAGAGTTTAAAACTTCAGCATAGGGCAGTCCCGTTGACAAAGACTAAGAATCCGTTGGGTCACAAATCTTATTTGTACTTCGCTAACGTATGAAATATATCTGAGCATATATAACTGTGTGAGAATGCCTTTTTATACATTCTAACCAAGTGCCTTTTAA